GCTGCCCACACCCACCATGTTCCGTGCACACCCCCTGGTGGTCAGTGCACATCATAATACCGGTTGTTCTGCCATTCGGTCTATTTGCAGGTTAGCCTTTTATTATATAGGATTGGTTTGGATATAGGGGAAGCTGAATAATTATACAGTGTTATTTAGAATGAGTTAGAGTATAAATTGCTCATCATCTTAGGAAAACAATATGATATTAGCTAACAGACCAAAATGTATAAACCTTATAACTTTATTACACTCTAAGACATTCTCTGAGAGAAATATATCACATGTTCTTATTAGCATTCTTTGTAGTAGCAAAAAAATTAAACACAAAAGTACAAAACAAACTCAAATATTCATTAAAAATAGAATGAATGCACAAATCATGGCAGTGTTATAATGGTATATTATGCCACAGTGATAAGAATTTAAATATAACTTTATTCAGTGCATGGATGCATCTCGGGAACAATGTCATGCAAAAAGAGCAAATATGATTAAATTCAATTGATTTAAAGATCTAAAGTACATATATCTAAATAATGCTTTATTTAGGAATATAAATAAGTATAATAATAAAAGCATAATATGCTAATTAGACCTGACAGCCGAATGACCTTTGGGACATCATTCCAGACCTCCTTCTGGATGAAGCCGCTGTGGCTGGGGGCCGAGGCAGAGGTGGTTAGGGGCGATCAGGCAGGCATGCAGAGGCTGTTAGGGATGATGAGGCAGGCAGGTGAGCAGTTAGGGGCAATCAGGAAGGCAGGAAGGCAAGTGATTAGGAACGAGAGGTCCCGGATTGTGAGAGGATGCAGGCCAGGCTGAGGGGCATCCCCTACCCCCGTGCATGAATTTCATGCACCGGGCCTCTGGTACAAATATAAAGACACTCTAAGATAAAAAGGTAGGGATGGAATGTGAAGGGCACTCAAGAAAATTGAAAATTTAATGTAATATTTTGTTTATGAATATAGGGCATAAATATTTGGGTGCTACTTATATGGCTCCGTATTTCTTACAGATATATCTAAAATGTTTTTGTTTTTTTATCTAAGCACTTCTAAAATTTTTAAAAGAAATTTAAACATGGATGGAACATGATCTTTGGAGTCAAAGTCCCTTGGCATCTGTTCCCAACTGTCTCATTCACTAGCTGAAATTCAGCAATTTGCTGAACCTGTCTAAGACTCAGATCCCTCACTTTTTTTAATTTAAAAAAATTATCATTTATAAAAGCTTACACCATGTAATATAAATTTCTAAATTGGAACAAATGCCTAAAGATTTTTCCTAAATCATAATCTTCAATTTTTACTTATTTATTGTTGATAGTATTACAGATGTTCCCTATTTCCCCCCTCTTTGCCCCACTCCACCTGACCCATCTGTCCCACCCCAGGCTTTCCTCACACTATTATCTGTGTCCATGAGCTATGTATATATGCATATACATTCTTTCATTAATCTTTTCCCATTTCCCCTAACTCCCTCCACTCTGAGTTGTATCAATCTGTTCCATGCATTCATGTCTCTGGACTTACTTTGTTCATCAGTTTGATTCATTAGATTTCACACCTAAGTGAGACCATGTGATATTTGTCTTTCTCTAACTGACTTATTTCACTTAGCATAATAATCTCCAGGTCCATCCATATTGTCACAAAGGATAAGAGAGCCTTCTTTTTTTATAGCTGCATAGTATTTCATTGCATAAATGTACCACAGTTTTTTTTAATTAATGTAGCAGTAATAAAAAACACTTAACTGCAGAACTTTTATGGAAAGGAAAAAAATATCAGAATATGAAATCATCTTGCATAGCGCCTATTGCCCAGTCTACTAGATATTCCGTAGATGTCAGGTTGTCTCATTTGCTCACCCATTCATTCATTCATTTATTTTTCATTTATTCAGGTACTAAAGAATGAAAGTCAAATTAATCAATTGATAGTAACCTAAGTTAAAAAGATAGACCACAGCCCTAACCGGTTTGGCTCAGTGGATAGAGCGTCGGCCTGCGGACTGAAGGGTCCCAGGTTCGATTCTGGTCAGGAGCATGTACCTGGGTTGCGGGCACATCCTCAGTAGGGGGTGTGCAGGAGGCAGCTGATCAATGTTTCTCTCTCATCGATGTTTCTAACTCTCTATCTCTCTTTCTCATCCTCTCTAAAAAATCAATAAAATATATATTTTTTTTTTTTAAAAAAAAAGATAGACCACAGTCTTCCCCTCAGGTAATCTGCATATTTTATTCAGGTTTTCTGGAAATAATACTTCCATCTCATTAACAACTTTAACAGAAAAGTGAGATCAAGGACTAAGAAGATAGAGTTGGTTCCAAGTAATTTTTAATTAAACTAAAGCTATACCTAAAAATAACTTTAAGAAACACACAGAATGGCTGCATTGAGGGGGAAAAAAAAGGTTTGCAATCATGCACACTTGCTCAGACTGTTGTTTAAATACAACCTGGGCAAGTTATTTAAAAAATATCTGGGCTTCATTTCTTCATATATAAAACAGAGATAATATTTTTCTGAGTTCAGGCTTATGATGGGGAACAGAAAGTATATATGCACAGTGCTCAGAGAGTACCTGACACAGAGTAGGAGCTCAGCAAAGGACTGCATTAGTAGTTAATCTTCCTGTACAGTGATACAGTTAGTAGATTTTTTTAAAAAGTAATAAGCATTTTATTATTCTATAATATGTAAATATTGTGTGTGTGTGTGTGTGTGTATATATATATATTAAATTATGGAATAGGAGCATAGTAGAGTTTGGTGGAGTGATTAGAAACTCAGACACTTGTGTTAGATAGCCTAGGATAAAATTCTGACTCTACCAATGACTAGCTATGTGACTCTGGGGAAGATCTTTAAAATCTATTTCCTCATAAGGTAATGTAGACATAAATGCCTACATTTATGTCAGGTAAGTAGACATAAATAAATGAGACAATTCTTATAAAGTGCTTAGAACTCACATACATAGTTCAATAAATATCAGTTCTGTTATTAATTACTAGAGGCCCAGTGCACAAATTTGTGCACCAGTGAGGGTCCCTCAGCCTGGCCTGCGGGATCGAGCTGAAACTGATTCTCTGACATCCCCCAAGGGGTTCCAGATTGCAAGAGGATGCAGGCCAGGCCGAGGGACCCCACTGGTGCACAATCGGAGCCAGGGAGGGACTCGGGAGGTTGGTCAGTCAGGGAGGGGCCGTAGGAGGGCTCCAGGACATGTCAGGCCCATCTCACTCAGTCCTGATTGGCCAGACCCCAGCAGCAAGCTAACCTACCGTTTGGAGCTTCTACCCCCTGGTGGTCAATACACGTCATAGTGACTGGTCTACCGGTTGATTGTCTGCCCCCTGGTGGTCAGTGGCACATCATAGTGAGCAGTTGAGTGGACTTAGCATAACATTAGCATATTACACTTTGATTGGTTGAACAGCCAACTGGATGACTGGACACTTAACATATTAGGCTTTTATTACATAGGATGTTACTGTTATTATCATTTTTGGTTGCAGTTAAGAACTTCCCCTCTGTGAAACTCCAAAAAGTACTGCAGGATATTGGTCTTATTATTTTAATTAAAGTGAATTTGATTTCCTAGTTTTTTAACACCTTTCCCCCTGAAAAAACCCTTAAAGAAATCACTACAATCAGAGCTTCAGAAACCCAACCAATAAAAATAAACAAGGAATGTAAGGATCTTAGATCCTGCCAGGACTTGATGTTGCTTTCATCATTGACAAATTTCTTATCATTCCAACGCTTTAGTTTTCACATCAATATGTTGAAATAATTCTTTGACCTCATTGTCATATAGGAATTCTAAAAAAAAAAATTATTTTTCCAAAACCTCTTGGTTAAAACAAGCTTATAAAGTGACTGTGTGTTCAGAACTTTGTGATAAAGGGTCACACAGAGTTGGTCTGTGACCACTGAAAGGTGCTTGCTAATAACAGTACAGACCCCAGGTCACCTGAAATAAACCACTTGGCAAGTAATCTCAGGATAGAACTGGCTGCTGATCCAAGGCTGTGTGACTGCAGCATCACTTCAGTGCACATTGGGTTCTAAGATAACCAAGTTTATTTCCCAGAAACGTTCCTCTGAAGCACAACTATGCAATTTATTTCAGAAAGTTATCTTTTAAACAGAAACAAGAAACAAAACGCCAGAGCTCCCTTAAATCAATGTTAACCGGCATTTCTTCCCATTCAGACACCCATACCTCTGGTAGAGGCTACACAGGACTCTAGTAGGTCCCCAGGAGCACAAGGTGATGTTCTGTTGCCATGACTACGAAGGCCAGAACTCAGCCTGTTGTCCCTTGAGACCAAAGTTCACCATTCTCCCTTCACACATGGCTTTTCTTAAGAGCCTGCACAAAGACCAGAGGCCACAGTTGCTACTTCTGAGCATCTATTTCCAACCTGCATTTTAACAAATAACTTTGTTTTCTTTTCTCCTGTATTATTTTGTTCCTTTTTTGTTCTCTTTTCACTAGTGTAGAGAGTTGAGATTTTTTTTCTCTTTTTCTCACAATTCCTCTTCTTTAGATAACAAAGACCAGGTCCCTAGCCAGGGTAATTATTAGCATATTCCTGGAGAAAATTGCAACAGTCTACATTAAAGGACTCCCTGCAGAAATTTACACAGTAGGTATCCAATTTCTCTTTAAATAAAAGGCACTGAGAACAGTGAGGGGTTTAAAACAAGAAAAGAAACGGGGAACAAACAGAGCTTTGAGGAACAGCAGGGAGATTTGCGGTGGTCAAGAGCAGATAGCCAGGCTGAATTATTTGGATAATTAGTCTTCGTTAGCAAACTGGGGAAAATTACAGTGCCACCATAAAATATAATAAATGTGCCCACAGACTAGCAACATTGAGGATCCTGTCTGACTTAATTCCAAAAGGTTTGGCTCTTTATGCTGAATATTCTGTATTAGAAAATACATTCTAAGCCTGTGATTTCCAAAACTTACAGTTTCAAGTGATCCTGATATCATTGTGGTCCTCTCAACCTACAAAGAGAACCTGTAAAGACTTCTCTGATGATCAGGGAACTTTCAAGAGGAAACAAAATGCAAATGTAAGAGTTAATTTTAATATTCCCTTCCTCTGTTGTATTGTACCCCGCGAATAACACAAGGGTGCCTCAAGAAGTCGAATTAAGATGCCACATTTATTTCAGAGCCAGCGACTATGAGGGGGCAAATGCTCTCCAAATCTTGCAGTGCCAAATGGCAGTAACATCAGGCTTATATAGGCAAATATCACAAAGGTATCGATTACATCTCTAGGTTTGGAGTGAGGAACCTGGTTTTCAAAAGCAGTTTGTTCCAGAAGCTAAATTGAGCAAGTTAGTTATCTACGAAGATTAATTATAGTTTTAGGTCTTGGAGCCACTGAGGCAACGGAAAACCCATTTCCTGGAGCCACTGGAGCAATTAAAGCAATTGTGCTGTCCTGGTCTCCAGGTGCAGAGGAATGTGTTTTGAAAGACCAGTAAAACCACCATCAATGGGGTATACAGTCGAATGGGGAGATTTATATAAGTTCAGGAGATCAAAAATAACTCCTCTATTATTTTAGCAAGCAAATAATTACAGCAGCCAGAACAGCAGGGTTAAAAATTAAACAGCAGTTTTTACCCAAGATGATCGCTCCCAAGCTTCACCTCCAGATGTTGGAAAATAGGAAAGCGAGGCTTACTCTTCTCTGGTCCAGAAACCCTCTTAGGAGGTGTAACTGGCATCAATAAATGGAACTTAAATATAAATTTATATTTAAAAATAAACTGCAAAAGTCTTATAAAAGCTCACCCCCCTTGTTATAGATCTGGGGGAGGCCAGTTCTTATTGTCTACATTTCTAGCACCCGTTTAAAAGTTTCTTGAGACAAACAATGAAATACATTCCATGAATTGTTCCAAAGAGCAGAGTCTGATCTGATTAGAATGTTGCTGCTTCTTGATGAAATCACAGAGTTCTGAGGTGAAGAGGATAATGTAAAAGGAACATTGGTAAGACTGGTTCAAAAAAGCAGGGTAGTTGAAGTTGTCTTCAAATTCTATTCTTCAAAGGAGGTTAAAAAGTTTTTCACATTCCCCATGAATGACAGACTTGCTGTGTTTCATGCACACATATGTACACCTGTATGTACAAACAGAGGAACAACATTGGGAAGAAAGAGGAAACCTGGACCCGTCACCTGAAAGTTGTTCTTAGCACTGTCTCAGGGCAGGAGGCCACTTCATTATAATAAGAAACATTATTGAACATATGGGAATCATGCAAAAAGGTATGCAGCATGTTCTTTCAATGTTATACTGATGTATCATGTGAAAGATACACTCATCATTCTAGAGGAAAATACTTGGTTTGACTCACTTTTTGTTATTGAAAAAAGTGTTAGTAAAATACTTGTTAACTTAAGATTTTGGTCTAATAGAAATGCACATGGTTTCTGTCAGGTAAGAAAGGTAATATTCATGCTTGCCTATGGGACTCCAGTCAGATTTGCATTTAACCTGTTATTCTGTTCTATCATTGTCTCAAAATGCCTATAGAGTTCTAAATCCCCAAAATGCTTTGAATCACACTTGACCTTATTACTGGTTTCCTCATTAATTAATGAGTTGAACAAAGTCCTTGAAACAGGTTGATATTATAATTACATGAGTGTCATACTTTCAAGTTTTTGAAAATTATGCTTTGCATTTTAAGAGCCACTCATACACCCCACACCATAGGAAAGTGAGGACAAACCCGGTGATTTCTTGATTTGCAAGTATTGTGGCTAAAGATACCTTGTTGAATAGATTTCTTTTCTCCCTTTAAAAATGGCCCTTTAATAACTCATTTTTCTGTCTTATACATAAAGGAGAGTCATGTTTCTGGCCCACTCGCTTATCTCACTTACAGAATTGAAGTAAGGACATCTGGCCTCATTAGAGGAAGTGATGGGAGGAATGGATCTTGGATAAGCAATGTAGAGCTCTCTGAATCGCAGAACAAAGCCAAGTTCTAAAAATGAGAAATAACCATAGCCATCAAAAGTCAATTGGAAAAAAAAAGTAAGTTGGTCACTCGTTCTAATTGGAAATGCTGGTGTATGTGTGTGTGTGTGTGTGTGTGTGTGTGTATGCATGCATGCATGCATGCATGCTTTACCCAAGTTTCTTCTGGAGACTTCAAAGGTTATTAGAATTAAAAAGTACCCATTGGGAAAATGTCACAGAGAATGGAAAGATGACAAGCTTTCTCAGAGTTTCTTTTCTGAGAGTAGCTGTTTTAATGTCTCAGACTATGAAGGTAAATGTAATAGACACTTGTGAGAAAGGACACTCAAGCATATGAGTCGAACCTCTCTGTTTGCCCCCATTCCAAAATCTACTTACCCATATTCTCATCTTGTTGTTTTTTCTGAGTTTCTATTGCTCTTACAGAGGCAAGCAAAATAAATCTGGAAGAACGTTAACAGTGGACTCTAAGGAGGAAAAAAAATTGGTACATTCCCACTGTGGTGCACCTTATAAAGTCTAAGTGAGCAAGAAAAACACAGGGCTCATAATTAATGGCTAGGAGCCTCAAGAAAAATCAAGGAGACTTTGAGATTCTGGACTTCATTAGCAGTTAAAGAAGAAAAAAAAAACACCCAGTGGCCAGCAGGTTAGAAGTTAATTAGGAGAAGTGCTAGGGGACTTGCTGTCTGACAGAGAGGCTTATGAGGTAGTTTCAGGCTCTTTATTGCCACTATAAAAGTCTGAATGTTTGCAAGCTCCCAAGAAACAGAGCAAATCCCCAAGGTTGTTCAGAACAGGGAAGCCCGTGCCTCCAACACTCATGGGTCTTCTGCCCTGCCCAGTAATAGATGCTTTGGGACTTTTGTCCATTTGTTCTCAAAGCAAACTTTTTCTTACATTAAATAGATACAGTTAGTTGGAGCCATACCAACACTTAGGTTAAAAGTTGATTTAGATGCATATGCTGATAAGAGTGAACAGAAGGAAAAGACTGGAAAAGAGCAAAGGCAACCATTCTATTTGTTTTGTTTTGTTTTGTTTTTCCAGCGGCTTTCAAGCATTTTATTTTCTAATAAACCTTCCAAGCTTACAGTGCACTATGGCCCACTCCATCCCAGGGCGGCAGCAGGTGTAAGCACCCTGCTCACAGCAGAGTACCAGGCAAGGAGGAGGGAAGGGATCCCTGAGGAAGAAGGATCTTTTTTATATGCATGTTTGTATGGGTAAACAACAGCATTGCTAATTTCTATGCCCCGCATTGTCTTACTACCAGGGGGAAAGAAATCCCCAAATACACATAGCAAGGCCTAGTTTCTTCCCACAGAATAGCATGTGTCTCTTTCCCATTGTCTTCAATAAATGTAGAAGTTTGGCAGGTTGACTGGAAGATGAGAATCAACATAGATACATATTGGCATTTCTGAGCTTCCTGACCCCTCTCTGTGGTTTTTCTCTAGGCCTCTTGTTTGTGTTTTAAACAGTATTTTTTCAGAGGTTTTGGATGTACCTGAGATCCTAAGAGCCTATATCACAGATGGCAGTGCCCTTCTTGCCTGTAAGACATCTCCTATAACACAATCATGCCTGCTTCTTTTTCCTGCTCAGTCAGGGGCTTGCTGGGGCTGTCCTCTGCCTTCCAGATATGCATAACCATTCTTTTTGGTTAAGAAACAGTCCTCAAAGGATTCAGAGACGTCTATAGCTGGATGAGCCGGTGTTTCTTTAGACTGAAACCTAGAAGTACCATTGTGGTGTGTGTTTTTTTCCTCTACAAACTTTCTCTGAGTTTCTGCATCAGACTATTAAAATGGAGGTTTCATTTGAGATTCTTAGGTGACAATATCAGGTATCAAAGTGAGTTGGAGGCCATACCACACCATAGAACTGGACTATTGTAGCTGGCAGAGAAAAATCCATTTCAACTCGAGTGAAAAACAGCAGATGGTGGGTGTGAGAGGTGAGTGAGCAAGAGAGAAAATTCCACCCTCACCTCTCTTTTCTGCTACAGACTTTTGCCTGAAACAGGCTCTGGGTGGAAGACAGAGTATTACTGCCACTTTAGGTGGGTTCAATGGTTCTATATTCTATGGGAGTGAGTGCCTAATTCCCCAAAGCAACCAAAAACCTAGCTTTTAGACAGTGACTTTGTGATTGGAGAATGTGGATGTCAGACTTTGTATTCGTGTAACAACAAGAAAGTGACGGGGCTACCCATATGTTAATGGGGGACTGCCCTCCACTAAATCCAAATGGACATTGAAGGGCTAGCCAATTAAATGTACTTTGTGATTTCAACCTATGAGTTAGGTCTATTCAGTGTTTATTTCTTCACCCTCGTTGTGCCTAAGAATCCAGCTGTTTGTTCACAGTAGAAGACTGGTTGTGGTAGGGTTGGTGGAATAAAGCAAAGATAAATTCAGAAAGCTTAAGGTCTAATACAGTATGATTTGTCCAAGTAAGTTTGAGCTATATTCTGGATTTGTACATAGTTCTGTTCTTAAAGTAACCCAAGGTTCCTCCAGGATTCTTAAGGAGTATTATTATAAAACTCAAATTTCACTTACCTACTTCCCAACACACATATAAAGTCAAGTCTGTGACTCCCATAAAATCCTTTACATCCAAAATTTCTGAGAAACCCTTTTTTTTTTTTGGCCGTGTCTTATATAAATAACTTTATATTTAGGCTAATTTTATTGCTCAGGACGCCATTTGAGATTAGCTTCTCACGGATGGCATTGCCACTGTCCTCCAGAAACAGAGACCCTGTCCCTGGTAATCCTGAGTATTTCAGTAAGACTGGAGAATAGAAATGTTTGGGAGTACAGAGGGAGATAACTTGGGGGAGTAGGTACAGACTGATCATAAAAGACTTAAGACCTTAACTTTTTTCAAGTACCTTTTGAAGTGATGGAAATAGCATATTTGCCACAACAGAAGCGTGTACTAGAGCAGAGAGAGAGAAAGGATTTCGGGGTAGATCTAATTGATGATAAGTAACCTTATATTTAAGTACTTTAAAATAAAGGTTTGTTTCTCCAAAGCAAAAAGAAAGTAGTGAATCTGGAATTCTCTGAATCCCCCTTGCAGAGGACAAGTGACATTAAAGTGGCCTAGTTCAGTCCCTTCCTTCACCCATCAGAAAATTGCAATCCCATATGATAAGACGGCCCATCCAAGGTCCCTTCACTAGTAAATGGCGAGAGAGAAATCAAATTCTTATCTCTTTAACATCCAGCCTGGTATTGTCCTATCAATTACATTATATTTCTCCTCAAGTGTATAATTCACCAGAAGATAGATTTGATTAAAATATTGCTTTTTCCTGGAGCAGATCAGAATTTCAAAATGCCAGAGAAAATAAACAGGTTTTTTTAAAAGATAAGAACTAGAGAACATGGAAATTAGATAACAAGGGAAATAAATTCAGACACATGGATATGCCTAGATAAGACAGTTATAAGGAAGGTATTTATCGTTGAGACTTAGACAGGCCAAGGTAGTAGCTTCAATAAAGAGAACATTGATCCAGAAACAGGGAAGTCAAAATTAACTTGCTGTACTCTCAAATCTTTTTCTGTAATAATGTTCTAAGAATTATAGTTATTTGGTGCCTTATTAGATTATAGAGCTTTAAACTGTATTGAGACCTACCATAGTTTTAGAAAACCATATCCAACCATGGCAGTATTAGCTGAATTTTTGATAAGCGTAATATTGTTCCCATCCTAATCAGAGAAATATTTGTATATGTACCTTATGTGGAAAAGAGACTTTATAGAGATGATTAAGGTTAAGGACCTCAGTGAGAGGTGGGCTTAAAGAAATCTTTCATCAATAAAAAGAGAAGCAATAAAAGGAAAGAGGAACAAGATCTGCCTTAGCCTTGGCTCTTAATGGAAACTATCTATTAAAACAAATAGACTCTCTCCTGATAATCCATGATCATAGGACAATCTTAGTTTCAAAGAGGTCTGAGAACAGAAAACAAATTGCAGTCCTAGCTGGTTTTGCTCAGTGGATAGAGCCCGCAGACTGAGGGTATGGTTTTGATTCTGGCCCTCTCACATTGATGTTCCCCTCTCTGTGTCTCTCCCCCTCTCTTCCCCTTTCTCTAAAAATCAATAGAAAAATAACCTCGGGTGAGGATTAACAGCAACACAAAGAAAACAAATTCCAGTGAGTTGAAGAGTGAGTGAGCAAAGTGGAAACCACTGAGTTTAATCTTTTCACATTTGGGCATCTTCTATTCACCAAAACCTACTCATTGTCCTGTTTCCTGCTTGATCTCCTGCACATGTGAATCTCCACTGTCATCCACGGTAGTTCCCCTAAAACTTCACAGGTCATTGATTAGAATGTCCTCAGCTCTGAAATCCCCTTCTCTATAATTTCTACCCATGGGTCTTAATTTCACCTTCTGGAGCTAAAATTTTGGAGCGTTACACCCCCTTCCACAGTTAACTGTAAGCATCTGGAGTTTGTCAGTGTGTCTTTTCCAGGCAGATATCTCTGATTCTGTAAGCTGTACCCTCCTGCTTATGAAAAAATGGAGGCTCAAATAGTCCTCAGTTGAAAATCAGTGGGTAGCCTTTAAAAAGCAAGTGACAGGGAGAATATGGTTTCATAAATCGAGGGCTATCTTTATTTCTTTGCCAAAATAATTGGAAATGTAACTTTTTAATGCAACGAATGGGCCATAATTCTGAAGTTTAAAAATCCTCAAAAGCAAAATCTGGGTGCTTCCTTCTCCTTCTGCCCAGGAGGTCAGCATCTGCGCGGAAGAGGCGCTTTAGGAGCACAGGCAGACGCACTGCCATGCAGGAACCAGGGGCATTTTTCATTTTTGTGTTTTCTGTTATTTATTTTCTTCACCTCAGGTTTCTGAAAACCAGCAACAGATGGACTAATCCAAGCTGCTCAGAACAGACGGCATATCAAACTCCCCGCGTGAGGCACGGGGCTCTCCTGCTGAGTGCTGCACCGCAGAAAAATGGACTCACACCCACCTCAGAACCAGCACTCACAGAACTTTAAACAATCAGCCTCTCCATTAGCCCCATTAGCAACCACAGTTGGAAAGATGTGTCCTTACTGGATCCTTGGGGGCTCCAAGGTCCCCCAATTGCCAGACACCAGATTACATCGCAAGGAGCAAAGTCCACAGACATGCACAAATGAGCAGTGGAGGTAAAATACACGATACATGGATGCCTGGCATCAGATGTTTGGGAGGCATTAGAAATTAAGTTGGGTAGAAAAACCATGTGTATTAGGATAAAACTCCTTATTTTGACGCACTCTTGCCTCTGCTGACAACAGCTTCACCTTTAACTTCCTAGTTATGTTCTTTCCTTTCTTCCCATCAGAACCCAATTAGAATAAGGCTTTTTATACAAAGGAATAATGACTTATAAATAAAATCCTATTACTTCCCTCTTACAAGATGGCATCGTTACAGAAAATTTAGGTGAAACAAAGTAATTTGCTATGGGTGAGGGAGGTGTTGGCCCATGGAGTTCAAAGTCTCTGCTATCACACAACATAGGAGCATCCTCATCCTACTTTTTCAGTCTAGAAGAGATGGTGTCAATGCCCACTCCTTTTTATAAAATAAGACAGAAATCAATGGTAGGTCTAAAACTGGACAGAGATAGAGCAGGGCTATATAATTTTTAGACTCTGGGTTTCCAAGTCAAAGCTTGTATAAATATCTCTTGGCTATATCAACAACAGGTTTACGTTCCATTGTGAATAACAAGAGATAATCTCAAAGCAATACCAAACAGTAGCTTAAACAAACTTGGATTTTAGTTTTTTCTACAAAATCAGATAGGTATTTGCCAGCAAGCACTAGATCAACAAATGGTAACTGCCTCATGGTTACCTCATGGCTGCACAGTGGCTGCTGCAAACTCACCTCCATGTCACAGGCATGAAGAAAAGAAGGGTGAAGATGAAAGGGACACTTTGCAAGCTTTCTTGGGAGTCACATATAATGATTTCCACTCACATCTCGAAGCAGAAGTGTGTTTCTTGGCCATGTCTAGCTTCTTTGAAGGCTGATAAATTAATTTTTAAATATTGAGCTAATTAATGCCCCTTCCCAAAATTGTTGGTGTGGTATTAAAGATTAAGGGGAAATAAATATTAGGGTTATCAGTCCCTATCATACTAGCTTTAAGGGCAGATGATACATTCTAACTCTGCAAATACAGTAAAATCTTAATCTGATTGTCTTAATAAGAACTGTTTGTGGACAGTATTTGGAGCTGGTAATGGGTTTTTGATAATAAAATAATTGTTTTCAAGAGTTGGAATAAGCAATCAAACTTCCTCATTTTCAGATAATACTGCTTCAACCCAATCTCTCACACTGGCTACTCTACATCACCACTATTATGCCATGAAATTTAGTATACTGTCTGGTGGTCACCTTACCCCCTTACTTACACTACTGACATTTGCAGAATTAAAATAAAATTTTAAATTATTCTTATGATGCTGTACTATCTAATATGAGTTTTCATAATATTTTCAGTAAACCATTAAGCAATTCGTTCAGTAAGGTTTTTTTATGTTTTTGATATGGTGGCACAAAGAGGACTTGTTTTTTTATTCATGAACAAACTCACATACTTACAAATCATGTTCAGAATGAATTGTGAGGTCCATATTTCCTCCTTACATTCTGAGTAAGCAGAGTTGATGCCATACTTGCCTCAGTCTTCCATCTGAGGAAGATCTGGTCATCAGAACGAATATAACAGGTGCTGACTGGCACTGCTGGTAAGATACAGCCATTCGCAGTTAAAGTGGTGATTCATGCACTAAAGCCAAGCTTTGGTGTAATTTATAGGATTCTTAGGTCAATAATGCCATGTTTTGTTTTGTTTCATTTCTCCCTAGGAGCAAGATTAAACACATGTTTTATAAAAAGAAATATTTTTCTCATATAAAATTAGACTGTGTTCTTCTGTTAACAAAATAAGAAGAAGAAGAAGGAGGAGGAGGTGGAGGAGGAGACAAAAGAGGAAGAAAGGCTTGCTTTGCTGAGGTGTGCTCACTTTTCAGGGAACTGCTGGTTGATTTATTTATCTACTACAACTCTACCAAGTAAGGAGGCTGAGTTGTACTTGGAAGACTACTTCACACACCCTGGTTCAGAGCCCTTCATTCATTATCTGAACCTGGGTGGAAGAAACCTCCATGAGCATCCAGTAGAAACCTTTGGTGCCTGAGTACAGAGAACCTAGACCTCTTCGTTGTGCAGAAAGAAGTGGACATGGGATCACAGGACATGAAGATGAGGCTTTGAAAGGTGAGGAGACAGAGGTAAAGCTGGGAGAGAGTGACGTTGCCTTAGGATGGGTTACACATAAAGTAGTCCTGGGGCAAGGAGTTATGTGAAAGTGATTTATTGACAAGTGTTCTTAGGAAAAATGAGCAGAGGAATGAAAAGGGAGACAAGGAAGAGAAGGAGGCAAAGCAAGAGAAAAATATCAACCAAAGTCCCACACTGAGCATGGCTCAAGCCTGAGGGTGAGCTCTGGGGACAAAGGAGTTACAGGGTCATTGATGATGGGTTGCCTCTGGGCAACATACATCCCCAGGCTCTTTGGCTCCCTAAATGTACAAGTGGGCCTTGATAACCTAGCACAGATCTCCAACAAAAAGAAGCAGATTCCTGCTATATTGGGGAATGAAAGCACATTGAAAATATGTGTGAAAGAAATGGAAAAGTGCTCTGAGGGGTTATGGTCTGAGCACTGACCACTTCTATTTCAGATGGCCAACCAGATTCCCTTTTCCCATAGTCTAAGGAAATGAGGTCTCTTTTTCTTTTTGTTTATTGGAGTAAGTGTTAAGGTCTGCGCCTTCTGCACTGTGTAGCTCTGTGAAAAGGATCCACCTTTTAAGTCAGTTAACTCGGTCTATTTTTATTTCTTCTGAAAATACAGGTGGAGATAGGGAGACAGCCATAAAAGGACCTGACGAGTTCCACTCAGGAAAGCAACCCTGGATTATTAGGTAAAGTCACCAGTGTTTTCTGTACCTGGAAACTAAGAGGGCACTCCAGCTTCAAGTTCAAAAGTCTAAATGTCTTGATTTTTATGCCCATCCCATCAGTTGGCAAGGGACATAGTCTAGCAGGAAAGTAACAAGTACACAGATGTGCAAAAGCTATGATTCTTTTGAAGTTTCTTCTACAAGATTCATTTTTTTGACAACTATGACATAAGAGACAGCAAACTTCTATCAATACTAAAATGAAACAGTTTGGGTTCATTAATTTTAGTTACCAACAATATTAAAATGAGGGAGAGAATAGAATCCCCTGTTGGAGAACAACACATAACTCTCATGATATTTTACACAATGACTATCCTGATGGGAGGAACACATCACAGGCAGTAATGGACTGACAGACCCACAGTCCTCCAATCCATCTGTAAAGTGAGAGTTGTAGTATCACTAACTGATAAGGGCTCTTTAACCTAGAAATCAAACTTCATAATATTCATCCTGTTGAAGTTCTTGAGCCTGTCTTTGCACATGAACAGGAGTAGGCTTCTACTCATCACGTATGATGATCAGTGGTTGAGGCATATTTATATTAATAACATGTAACCTGTGCATGCATCACCAAGGTAAGATTCATCTGCTCTTTTTTATTAGATGGCTCTATTTTGGTTTTAATGAAATAGGACAGTGTTCAATATAGTGTAGAGTTAATAAAACCATAGTGTATATAAGCAAACCCAAATTATTTCTAGCATCCATTCTCTTATGAGGTGAAGGAGCAAAACTTGTTGGCACCCAGAGGTCTTTGAACAAGTGACACTTTACATGCAAAAGGTACCTTAAAAGTCTTTTCATTCATTTTGGACCTAAATTTGGGGAAAGCAATATAAAAGCATTGTCAGAGGACAATTATCATTACCTCAGGAACTAGTAACATGTTAAGATACCTGAAGATAAGAAATGATCACTGTGCTAATTTATTAATCAGACAGACAATATTTTAATATCAATCTAGAATAAGTTACCCTATCAATTATAAGGAACTTCAGTTTATTTGGAAACGAAAAACATTTATTTTAAAAATTATTCACAAGTCAATTTGGTCTTGGAGTTAGCAGTTTCTTATCAATTTAAACAAACCCTTGCCTTAGGACCCAGAATTCCATTGCCAGAGAAATAAAAATATATGTTCAACAAAAGACTTGCATATAAGTATCCATAGCAGTTTTATTCAAAATAACCCTATAATGTAAACTATCTAAAAGCCCATCAAATGCATTGTTTCCATAAAATAGAACACTACTCGGCAATATATAAAAAGAAATTGTTATACCCAAGAGTGCACAGATGAATCTTAAAACCATTTTACTGTGCAACAGAAGGCAGACACAAAAGACTGCATACTACATACATTCAAGTATATTGTTTGAAATTCTAAGGAATTTCTATAGTGACAAAGCCATCAGGAGCTACCTAGAACCAAGGTAATAGGGAATAACACTGCAAAGGGGCAAAGGAGTCTTTGGGGAAGATGGAAATGTTCTACATCTTGATTATGATGGTTGTTACACAAGTGTGTATATACATGTCAAAGCTCATTGCACTATATACACTTAAAATTGGTCTATTTTTAACATATGTAAGTTGTACTTCAATAAAATTGATTATAAAAATCCTAAAGTTCATCAAAAAGACACACATATACATTATAGGGATCTTGAATGAGAGGACACTGGGAGGAGGTTCCTCTGGGTAGATCACATGGGAGGTAATTAAGAACTTTACTAAGGAGTGTTAATATCTGACAATACTGTAAGGTCAATTCTCTATTGGTTTATTATTTATAAACTTGTAATTTAATAATTTCATTATGCCTTTATACAAATATATATTTAGATGACATTTAAAACCTTTAACTCTGGTTTCAATATATAGGGTGTCCAAAAATGTATACACATACTTTGAATAATTATAAAGGCAGTGATTATTAAGATACATTTCATTTTCAAAATTGAGCTATCAGCTGTTAAAGTGTGTATATATTTTGGAGGACACCCTGTATGTTAACCTAATCAGAGGATGGCTCTACTCTACCATGTTGAACTCACCATCTTAATTAGAACTTAACAAAGAGCAAATTTGTTGTATATAGACAAGGATATTTCATCAGAGGAGTGACATTTAAATTTTTACTCAGTGCAAGTAGAGGAAACAATCCCCAGATGATTTATAGCATTGTCTAAAGTTCACAAAAATCAATCTTTAAAAAGACATTATTTATTATAATTCACTTAGTTAAATATATATACACTCATTCTCATAACCTTAAATGATTTGTAGAAACAATGATAATCTATCTCACTTCCCAAAAACGATGGAATTTCAAATATGCAAAATAAAATGACTTTTCATAAAATACAAATTTAATATTTGAAATCCAATCTTATATAAGTATTAAATTTATATTTTATACCTTATTGTGAAAAAAATTGAGAAGACATTTTGCTAACTTTTAAAACAAAAGTCTCAAATCTAATTTATCAAGGGATTTATTTTGATTAATATGCATATTATATAAACGAGAATCTTATAATAAGTCTGCATTTATATACCATGTATTACAGTGTACAAGAATCTCTTATTAGTTCATTTTTGTGACTATTTGTTGCTAGCTAATATCATTTGCATTTCTTTGTTTCTTATCTAGTGATCTTCCATCGCCAGCCCAGCTTGACTTTTCTGAGCTGGTAGAGATCTTCTTAAAAGGCCAGCACGCTGAAAGCATTGAAAGTTCAATTTTTTCCTTCTCTTTTAAGTTGAAGATATTCTAATTTGTTAATCTCCTCTAGAGTTGGACAATAATATCAAAGCAAGTTTAGAAAATATTTTAAGTCATACATCCAAAGAATCTTATCAGAGTTTTGGACAAGTTGGGAAACGTTGATATGTCCTTTCTCTTTGAGCCCCAGGTAGGAATATTTGTCTGGGGACCAAGTTACTAAGGTAGGGATTTTAGAGTTTATCCTCAGAAGGGATTACTTATGATACTTTTAGAGGAAAATGCAAGAAATGGCTAAATTATACAGAAGCCCTTCAACTTCTCAGGAACTTAGGTGCTCATTAATGAGAGGTCTGTAGACCCCAGAAAAGCTTAATCAATTCCACCTGCATCCGCTTTCTCTCTGGCTCCTTCAGAAATCCATCCACACTACTGACTTATAAGCCAGCCACCCTCTGTTCTCCAAGCCATGCCAAATTGTTTCACTTTCTTTCAGTATTTGTATATGCTTTCTCCCCTTCAATGGTGTATATGTGTGTTTGTCTTAGATATTTATATTAGTGTGGAAACAGAGCAGATTTCCATGATCAACAAATGTCCAAGTATGCCCTCTCAAATACTCTGACTACAGATGGAAAGGGCTATTATTATAAAAATATATTTGTTGTCAGTATCTCCCCTCTGTAAAGAGGCTTTTCTTACTTACAGACACATACACAGGGAAATGGACAGCATTAGAAAATCCATTTTGCCATTATGCAAAAACAAATATAATGGGGACTGTATGCAAGCAACCCCTTCAGCAAAGACAGACACAGACAAGCAACTTGAGGATCCTTTCTATGCTGCCCACTCCCTCTCTCCTCAAGCAACAGATCAACGGTATATAATTTAGCATGGAGCAATTGACTCAATGCAAAGTTGAGACAGGCCTGTGTGAGAAATGGGGGAAGGCTTGAGACAATGGAAATTTTGTAAAATCCTGCAGACACACAACACAGAATCAGTCTCTTAGCACTTAACATGGGTGGAGAGAAGCCAGCGGAACATTAATTAATGACAGAAATACTTCAGATCAGTCATGAACCAGAAATAAACCAGAAAGCCACACAGTCGTGAACCAGAAATGATCTGCAAGCCCTACAGCATGTAGCAACTCACTCTGGGGGCCAGGAAGAGTGAGCCTGGGGAAGACACCTGTGAGGAAGCATCACGCTTTGGTGATTCCAATGGCAGAATCCTCATAGATAGAAAACTATTAGCACCAGTCAGAACAAAAACCCATCACAGCTCCGGCCACTGAGTAAGATCCCCCTACTCCAACCCCATAACGAAGAGTAACACAAGGCAATGTCCTTGCTTTTAGAACAGCCAGGCAATAAAGAGAGACAGCTGCATCTATTGTTGAAGTCAGTTTCATAAATAAAAAATAGGATCTTCTGTTGTTCCTGGCATATCCCGAAAACAGGGCTTTTAGGATATGCTGCCATTCTGGCTCTCATATAACCAAGTGGGAGGGCTTAGTTATTTGTAACTGCTATTATTCTATGGGTTCGAATGTTTATCGACCCATCTCAGAATGCAAGACTTTCAGAAATAGAAATCTTTCCAGGCCTGTTCGGGGACAGGCTCTTTGTCAACAGGATTAGGCTGCTAAAGACACTCTGTCAGCTTCACTTTTTCATGACTGTTTTATTCTGGTATTTTTGTTACACTGGTATCAGTAAATGTGAAACATTTTAAATGCTCCTAAAGCTAGTAATAAAATAGGTCTATAAATTTTCCCACAAATCAAGGCAAGAATCAGTGTGCTGTTGTTTTTTTTCCGAAAAGGCACATTTTTCTTTCTCCTCTCCCTTCTGCATCTGCACCCCTCCTCCAACGTGCTCTTGGAGGGGAGGGTGTGTTGGGGAAGGGCGGTGGGATCACTCCTGCAGTAGTGATCCTTATCCTGAGCCCTATGGAGCATTTCGTTAATGTTTTCTTCAGGTTTAAATCTGCCTGGCACATGGTTGATCTGTGCTGCAAGGGTTAACATGGAGTGAAGGGGAAGTTAACAAGGGACAGGCCATAAATGGCTCCAGCTGTGTATAATTAACTGTAATGCTGCAGAGTAAATGACTTTTATTGGCAGCCATGTCTTCATTAAAAGTCATATTTACAGTCCCATCATATGAAATGAGTGCTCCTGTATTCTGGAATTTAACGAGCATTCATTTTCACCTTG